TATTGATTATGAGGAGACCTTTGCTCCTGTTGCTCGTCTCACCTCTGTTCGCAGCTTGATTGCTGTTGCTACCGCTCGACAATGGTATCTTTATCAACTGGACGTGAAAAATGTTTTTCTTAATGGTGTTCTTCTCGAGGAGGTCTACATGCAACCTCCCCCTGGGTCTGCTTATCTCCCGCATCAAGTTTGCAAACTTCGGCGTGCTTTATATGGTCTCAAACAAGCTCTCCGTGCTTGGTTTGCCAAGTTCAGTTCCACTATTCAGAAATGTGGTTTCACCTCCAGCTCTTATGATACTGCTCTTTTTATCCGAAAAACAGCTCAAGGGACCACCCTGCTTTTACTTTATGTAGATGACATGATTATCACCGGTGATGATATCGATGGTATTCTTCGCCTTAAACAGTTTCTTAGCCATCATTTCGAGATGAAAGATCTTGGTCCTCTCAGCTATTTCTTGGGTCTTGAAATCTTTCATGATTCTTCGGGTTCTTTTCTCTTTCAGGCTAAGTATACCTCTGATCTTCTTACACGTGCTGGTCTTACGGATTGCAAGACTGCCTCTACTCCCCTGGAACCTTAGAGTCGTCTTACACCTCTTGATGGCACTCTTCTCTCTGATGCTACACTCTATCGTCAGCTGGTTGGCAGTCTTGTCTATCTCACAGTTACTCGTCCTGATATTGCCTATGCCGTTCATATTGTCAGCCAGTTTATGTCGGCTCCTCGTATCCCTCATTATGTTGCCTTGCTTCGTATCCTTCGGTATCTCAAAGGCACCCTGTTTCATGGTCTTCATTATTCCGCCCGCTCATCTCTTCAGCTTCGTGCTTTCTTAGATGCTGATTGGGCTGGCGATCCTACTGACCGACGCTCTACTACTGGGTTCTGCTTTTTTCTGGGTGATTCTCTTATTTCTTGGCGCAGCAAGAAACAATCTCTTACTACTCGTTCCAGTACCGAGGCCGAATACCGTGCTCTTGCTGATGCTACTTAAGAACTTCTCTAGCTTCGTTGGCTCCTCGCTGACATGGGTGTTACCCCCTCTGGTGCTACTGACATCTTTTGTAACAATCACAGTGCTCTTCAAATTGCTCACAATGATATTTTTCATGATCGCACCAAGCACATTAAGATTGACTGCCATTTTATTCGTCAACACGTCACTCGTGGTACAGTCCATCTCCATCCAATTTCTTCTATTGATCAACCTGCTGATATCTTCACCAAAGCTCATTCTCCTGGCCGCTTCGTTGAACTTGTCTCCAAACTCCAGTTGGTTGATGTTTGTCCTCCTTGAGTTTGAGGGGGGCTGTTAATGTATTATATTAATATGTATTATATTAATGTATCATAATATTATATTATATTAACATGTATATATTATATTAACATATAGCTGTATCATACTAATGTAATGCATATATTAATCATATATAGCTATAGGATGCCAGAGCAGTGCCTCCGCTTTCGGCTGCTTTATCTTATTTTATGCTCTGCTTTCATCATAATGTTGTATCAAACAACTCCTATAAATGGAGTCCCTTCTTACACTTTCAGACACATTCAATACAAGAGTTTTCTTACTCTCTCAATATCACTCTCTTATTTCTTTCAGTTTTAATGAATGAAAAACAGAGTTGTTGGCATGTAAGTTAGACTACAATATTTTCCAATACTTGAAAGCATGCAACAAATCCGAATTGATTTATTTGTTTTTTTTATTATTTATTATTTATTATTTTTAATGTCATGTTTGGATTTGTACAGAAAAAAAAAAGGAGAATTACAAACCAATGAGAATAAAGTGAAAGTAATTTAAAAAATATATAAAGATGCAAGTGAAATTTGTGCTCTGATTTGCATTAGAGAAAAACGCACTTGATTTTTTCGTTTTTGCAATTATTTTTATTTTTCTTACTGATTTGTAATTCTTTAAAAAAAAAAAATGAAAGAAAAAGTGATGGTTATGACTTATGAGATTGCTTTCACTGAGAGAAGACAAACACGTCATCTCTCCTTTGAGCTATATGAAAACCCATGTGTTACCTACTTCTGTAGGATTGCCTTTGCAATTATTTTACATTATTATTATCTAAAAAGCTTAGCACTTGGTTTATAAACCAAGTCACATACAAGTGATCGATTAGAAGTCACCCTTCTTTGAAAGATCACATACATTTTTGGGTCCCTTTCAAAAAAACCAAAGGTAAACTTACCTCTAATTCAAGTATTTTTTTTTTAATATATATAATTTATTTGACGAATTGTTTTTGAAAAAAAAAATTTGAAAACAACTCACTTTTTAAAGAAGACAAAAAACAAAAACAAAAAAATGTTTTGGAATTTTCAAAAAAATTTTGCACAAAAATAAAAACAATCAATGTTTTAAAATTTTGGGTAAATTACAAATACACTACCTAAGATTTGTTTAAAATACGAATTGTCTCCTGTGATTTTATAAATTACATCCAGCCTTCCGAGGTTTCTAATTTCATAACAAATAGCTCATTTTATTAATAAATTATCAAGTTAATTAATAGTTTTTTATGATATTAAAATTTTATTTCAATTAATAATTTAATTAATTTTATTATTTTATAAGAGAACAATCAAGAATTTTATTTTTTTCAGTTAATTATGTTAAATAATATTTATGACAATAGAATATTTGTAATTTTTCAAACTATATAGAGTAATTCGTATTTTAAACAAATTTCATAAATGTATTTGTAATTTACCCTTAAATTTTTATTGTTTTTGTATTCCAAACACCAAGAAACAAAAACAAAGAAAACTTACTTGTAACATGAGTAGTTTAGAGAAAAAAAAACAAAACAAAGCAAAACAAAACATATAAAACTTATTTCACAAACTGTTTTCAGGATGAAAAAAAAATTCTAAAAACAACCCACTGTTAAGGTGCCGTTTGGTAACACTTTCGTTTTCAATTTTCTGTTTATATTTACAAAAATTTAAAAAACTCAAATAAAAACTTGTTTGGTAAAATTTTTGATTTATAAATCAGTGGTCTCAGTTTATAAATTTGGCCAAAAAATGAAAACACAAAAAATGTGTTTCCATTTTGAGTTTTCAGTTTTTTTTTTTTTTAAAGAAAATACCATATTTGCGAGTATCTACAGGACCTAAATTATCAACAGGCTCTCCAAGTACGTTGAAAATTCGTCCGAGAGTGGCTCCACCGACCGGAACACTTAGAGGAGCTTCCGTGTCAATCACTACTATTCCTCTCATTAGACCATCTGTAGCACTCATAGCTACAGCTCTAACTCGATTGTTTCCTAATAATTGCTGTGTGTAAACGAGGTGCTCTACCTAACTGAGCTATAGCCCTTAGTGCTTGTGATCCACATTTTATCATGTAGAGAATTTCTTGTCAAGATGACTATTCCATGATCCAACATCATAGCTGTTTGATTGGTATTGCTTATAAGTAATATGATATTTTGCTTCCGGTTTAGGTGGACAGCCTGGCAAATAAACATCCACAGGAATTAGCTTATCGACTCCCCGAACAGTACTATAAGAATCAGTACTGAACATCCCCCCTGTAATTGTACAGGCTCCCATAGCAATAACATATTTTGGTTCAGGCATTTGCTCATATAATCTCTTTCTCACTCACTCTACTCTTTCACAAACAGATCTGAGCAGAAATGCTTTTCTCTTATCCCAAGTCTTGCGATATGTGATGTGATATATAATACACGTACAAATGAACATCTTTGAGCAAGAAATCCCCATTTGAATTTGAATGATTCACGGTCCATATCATTATTCGTACTGAAACTTACAAAGTTTTCACCACCACCCACTCGCTACCACCCACCACCCACCACTTACCCGCTATCACCTACCACCAACCGCCATCATCCACCCACCTACCACCACCACCCACTACCTGCCACTACCACCCACTCGCTACTACCCACCACCCGCCATCGTCACCCATCCACCCACCACCACCACCCACCACCACCAGCTACTCACTACCCACCGTCACTACTTTTCACCACCGTCTTCCGTCGCCATTTGCCACCACTTGTCATTTCTCACTCTTTTTATATTTTTAAATTTTTTTAAACATTTTGTCAATTACCAAACACGTTTGTAGTTTATGTTTTTCTAAAAATAAACAAAAAATAAACAAAAACCAGTTTATAAATTTTTTGTAAATATAAACTGAAAACGTAAACATTACCAAACACACCCTAAGAAATGTCAAAAAGTTAGCTGGTTTTTACCTCACTTTTGACATAATTACATAACATTACGCTGCGTTTGGTTGGGGGATTTGAGAAGGAATTTGAAAAAAAAGAAAAAGGGAAAAGGTGTGTGAAATTAGGTGAAATGTAAGTATATTTTATTCATATTTCATCTACTTTTTCCCTTTCTTTTTTCAAATCTCTTCTCAAATCGCTAAACCAAATACAACATTAAGTAGTTTTTTTATCAATAATTCGTGAATCATATAGATAAAAGATGATGGTGTCATCTCTTTTAACTAAAATGTACATTTATTTTTGGTTATTTTAATATTTTTATGATATATGCACTAGTTTTGATCGCTTAATCTTAATAAAGGGGAGATCAATGTAATTATGCTAAATCTTATGGGGCTAATTGTATTTTTCTCAAACCTTAAGAGAGTTAAGTGTAATTTACCCAATATTATTTTTTACAGAAAATGTGCACATAAATAGCATATGCCATGTTTTTAGAGGCAAACTTGTAAACTTAATCAATTCAGTGAGTTACCTCAATCCACTTAGTAATTATTTTTCATAAAAAAACTAAGGGCATTATCAATTGAACAAATTGAGCTAAAATCTAAAATTAAGAATTAAAATGACATAAATAACAAAATGTAAGAGTTACCTGTGTAATTTGCTCTTATTTTTTTAATCCAAAAACGCGAGAAACAAAAACAAAAACAATACGGAACAATTTGCCGATCAAAAAAAAAAAAAAACAACACCGAAGAATCCCTGAATCCATTTATGAATAGAAGAATCTGACCTTCACACATAGTTCAAAAACAAAAAACAAAAAAGAAAAAGCAAAAAATTGAAACAAGAGTCCATAATCTTCTTCTACACATAAAAAAGAAGAGAAATTAGAAAAAGCCAAGAAGATCAGTGTGAACCAGTCTGAAACATGTTCATGATAGAAAGTGAAATTGCAGACAACTGAAAAGTATCATTATCTCTCTTCTTCAATGGCGAAACCACACCTTTCTTCTCCAAAAACCCATCTTCACAAGTGATCACAGCGTCCATAACCGAGGTTATTTCTCTGTTAGCATCCACAAATTTCTTACTCTTATAATACTTCACTGCCTGTTTTACAGAAGGAATCGCATCCGAGTAAAGCTCCAAGCAATCTTGTAAACGAACCTTGACATATGGGTCAAGTTTCTTGTTTTTCAATAGGTGTTTGACGTAGCAGCGAGTGTCGGTCACGTTGTTCTGGATAAGCTTGATGGAGATCATGCCGAGGCCACGTAGGTCAGCGCATTGGCTGGCGGGAGCTGATTGGAGGGAGGTTGTGCAGAAAGTGAAGTCGATGTTGCTATCATGGTTGACGCCGGTTTTGCAGGTGTTGTAGATTAGGGTTTGGGCGGCTACGCGGTGGAAGGAGGAGGAGAGGAGGAGGAAGAAGAGGAGGAGGAGAGGAGAGAAAGAGAGGGTAGTCCTCATGTTTTGTTGTTGTTGTTGTTGTTGTTTGGTATGTGTGGCACTTTTTCACATTTTTGTTTCTCTACCAAGCAAGGGGATGGTGATTTATAGTGTGGGGAGGAATGAGTTGGTGTTTGGACAGTTGGGATCCAAATTGTCTTTCCTTAAGAAAAAAGATAGTCTATTAATCCAAAATTTTGGATCAAGAAAATTTATCTTCAAAATAAATTGAAATTTAATTGGTGTATTATGGGGTCTATGTATAAAAAGAATTGGAGTCATGCATTAGTGTTTCTGAGTAAAATTTTATATAAAAAATCTGAGTTTGTAGCATATAAGAGTGTTTGGAAACACTTTTGTATTTTTTTTTCAAATTTTAAAGGAGATCTATTTATTTCTACATCATTAAAAATAGATTTTTTTTTATTATTTATTTTATCAATATCTATTTATTTTTTAAGGACACTCGGGCTATAAATTCAAGGAAACTCTTAAGTGTGCAATGTGTACCATATGCATGTACTTTTATTATGTAATTTTGTGATTTTAGTTATATATTTTTAAGGGATAAATTATGTAAGTGAGTAAAATTTTACGTGATTATGTGAATTTTAAAATTTTTATGAATAAATTAATGTGAAATTATCTTTAAATTACGCATTTTTATGATATTATTTATGTAAATTTATGAAAGCTTACTTGCTTTTGTAAATAGTACATATGGTGTGCAATCCTTAAACGGGTGTTTGAGGGTTGCATACCCAAATACTTTCCTATTTGTACATATCATCACCACTACCTATCATCACCACCAGTGAGTGACGATTTGTCCGACCACTTTTTCATTGACTTTTCCAATATCAACGATAGTGATCTGACGATAATGGGGTAAAAACCATATATATTGTTCAAAACAATAATTTGTTCTTCTCATAAAAGTAATTTCATTAATCATATTCTTTTCGCCATAAAAGATCAATCTTTTTACCTAATGTTATCCCTATAAAAATAGACTTATCACCAATAAATCAACTTTTCCTCGCGTAACCCAAAAAGAGAAAAATTAAGCATCTATTTTTATTTTCTTAAATTAATTTTGGGAATCAGCTAACCCAGACTTATCCACTTAGAATTTTCTAGGTGGGTGATTGTGTGATGGAGATTAATTTATGTGGTGTGAGATTCATGTAACGTGAGGTAGAGATTAATTTTTGAATAAGTATCTGAGTTGATAAAGATAAGTTCGTAGTATTACTCATTAATTTTATAAATTTAAAATTTAAGAACATTAATTATTAATCATTAATGTAACGCCAAATACATAACTTTGACTTAATCAGTCACTTACTACAGAGCTCACATGGTGTGACAACCTAAATATTTAATTAATATCACAATCAATTATAATAGTAATAACAATAATAATGATAGTAATGGTAAAATTAAATAATTAATTTTATGGTTGTATGCAACGAAGTGTAATTTAATTGACATTAAGATCAATGTAAAATTAAGTAGATGATTGTTGAAGATAAACCTCAGTATGGTAAGCTCAAACAAAAAAAAAGAAAAAAAGAAAACTAGTAATGTAATTCCTTTAGTAATTGGGCCCAAGTATAATTAAGTACTTAATCTAAACTTATCCATTTGAGTGATGAGATTCAAATCTATAGCAAGATGATTGCTGCACAAGTAGAGAGGCTGCATGTTTGGCTACGTATCACCCTGAGCGAGTATTACACCTTAGTATAAAATGTGGTGTAGTGTTGTGAACAGAATAAGGAAAACAAACAAAGAAAAGGGAAGAAAATATTAGAAGTGAATGAGGTCTTTGATAGTGAAAAAAAAAGTAAGGTATTACTTTTAAGGTGAATTATATTATATCTTGAATTACCATAATATATTTTACGTATATTTTGAGTTACCATAATTTATTTTACTAAATTTGTGTTTTATAAATTATGTTAATATTTCAATTACGTTAATTATTTTCTGAACCCTATTTATTTAAATTAAAATCCATTATTTGACAACGGAATCCCATGTCTTGAGAGACTTAACTAATTCATTGGCTTCTGATTGGTCACTTTGTGGCCCTCTGTTTGTCATGAATCCTATAGCGACCCCGGTCTTGTTCCATTTGATTATTGTATCCGGACTTAGGTTTCGTAGATTCTGTCATTGTATAATGGTTGTTGTTGTCCTTTATTTTCTCATTTGGAATTATAGGATGTGTTGGGCAGGTTTGTTTCAGGTTGGTTGGGTTTAGAAATCAAGTGTTGCTGTCCAGTATTTTGGTTCTTCGCTCGAGCGAGGAGTTTGTCGCTCGAGCGAGCTGTTGTTTTTGGTTCTTCGCTCGAGCCGGGGTTTGGTTGCTCGAGCGAGAGTTTGCGTCTGGTTTGGACCTGTAGCTTTGCATTCTTGGCTCGAGCGAGCTTTTCTTCGCTCGAGCGAGTTAGTTCGTTCTTCACTTATAATTTTTTAAAATTTAAATTTTGTGTACTTAAAAAATAAGCAATTATGTTATCTTATTATACAAATTTTAACTCTATTTTATGTCTACTACCTATAATTTTAAACAAATTTTGTATTCTAAAGCTACTTAATTAAAATAAGAAAAAATATATTTTTTATGACATGTCAACAAAATTAGGGAGGGAGAAACATTTATAATAGAAGATAAGACATAGGGGAAGGGAGCCCTAAAAACATTAATTAGTATTGAGGTGTAACAATTTTAATATTAAGAAAATTTTAAGTCACTGATTTTTCATCATAGTTTTGCATCACCATGTTAATTTTCAATTGATTCCCTATTGAAATAAAGTGTAAAAGAAAAAATACAAAAAATGAAAACTATAAAATATTTGTATCTCTAAAATCACACCCAAAGCCCCATGTGCTATATTAGAGAGAAAATAAAATACACACATTTGGTATTTGATTATTATTTTTCTGTTCTCTGTTCTCAAAAACAGAAAAAACTGATACAAAGAAGGGAAAACTCATTAGGCAAACCGTTTCCTAAACACCTCCTTTAGAAAACACTTTCAAATAGTTTTATGTGAAACTAATCACATTGATTAAGTCATTAATTTTGACTATTGCATTGATACAGAAAATACTTGTATTGATTGAGCATTGCATTTGCGTACATTGTTTTGTGTGGGAGGAGATAGGGGATGTACTCCACGGTTTAGGGGAAGATAGGGGATGGACCTCTAAACCGGATTTTGTTTGGGAGGAGATAGGGGATGTACTCCACGGTTTAGGGGAAGATAGGGGATGGACCTCTAACCGGATTTTGTTTGGGAGGAGATAGGGGATGTACTCCACGGTTTAGGGGAAGATAGGGGATGGACCTCTAACCGGATTTTGTTTGGGAGGAGATAGGGGATGTACTCCACGGTTTAGGGGAAGATAGGGGATGGACCTCTAACCGGATTTTGTTTGGGAGGAGATAGGGGATGGACTCCATTAGCATCACTTTTATGTGTGCTTATTTATATAGAAGTGTTTTATTGATACAGCACTAAAATGTGTATCAATCTGGAAGTATGAAGTGTTTGATTTGAGCTTGAGTCTCATTTGTTTGTTGATATCGGAAGGATGTGAATATGATATATGTGATTCACTGTTGTAAGTTTGGCCAGGTTCTGAGCCATATTGATAAAAATTGGAAAGTAAAACGTATCTTTGGAAATAGTGTCATGAGACTGTAAAATGAAGTAATTTATTATTTTGGTTAACCATCTGTTGAATGCTATTACTTTATTCATTGCTTATATGTGGTTTAGTATATTTCTACTGGGCTGTGGCTCACCCTTTATGGGAACATCATTTTCAGGTTCAGGTGAAAAACTACCTCCAAGGACTTAGCTTGGGAGGGTTTGGTTTCTGGATTGAAGAATACTACCTTTAGTTAATAGTTTTTATTTATTAGTACATGTAAACATTCAAGCCTAGGGCTTTTCTTGTATTGAGATTAGAACTCATATTTTTGAATCCAAGTGTTGGCTTGGAAAGATGTATGCCTGTAGGGCATTTTATTCGATGTTACATGTAATGCTTTGTTTAGTAATACTCTGATGAATGAATTAATAAATTGTCTTCTTTAAATAATGCATGTCAATGATATATATATAATGGGTTAATTTTGAGGGCGTCACAATTTCTCTAAAATTTGATGAACAAAAGAGACTAGGGTTGGAGATGCTCTTAGTATAGAGATTAGTATTTTCACATCTAACCTGATGATTACACAATTTATTTTTCTTTCTACAATCTTTGTTGGAGCTGAGTACGAGAAGATTTGTCAATATCAGGTATTTATCAGGTTACGGCTTCATGAGTTTTGCCTATTATCATTAATTGTTTTGTTTTTGGTTCTTTTGTTGATGAATTTTCAATGTGTTGAAATTTTAGAATTGTAATGGATGATTTTCAAGAGTATTAGGTGTTCATTACAATTTTTACTTAATCTATTCAGCTACTCCTAGGATACTCTTGGGATGATTGGGATGATTAGGTGTTCATGATTAGGTGTTCATGATACTTAATAGAATTGTAATACTCTTGGGATTTCAAGAGTATTAGGTGTTCATGATTTTCAACATTATTTTCAACATTACAAATTTGAAAATACTCTTGGGATTAGGTGTTCATCAATCATCCATTACAATTTTTTTTTCAACATTCTTTCATCTGTTCATCTGTTTTTTTGGGGTTCTAATTTTTAAGTTGTTGCTTACAACTTTGCCTTTTTGTTATTGTTTTATTGGGTGTTTTTAGATTTTACATTGTGTTCTCTCCTTGCAATATCTGTTCCATAAATGAAAAATTTGTGTTTGGTAATAGTTCCCCTATGCTCTTGGTATAATATCTCTCACTTTGTTGTGTGCTTATAGCTGTTGCCGCTTTTCAGGTGATGAAATGTAAAGATAGATTGTAACCTCGTAATGGGACCAGCACAGAATTTGATGTTGACACGTTACATTTTTTTTTTCTTCTTTTTTTATGACAATCCATCACCGAATAATAAAATTATATAAGCCCTACAGAT